AGGGGCCCCACAGCCTGAGCTGCAAGCGAGCGGCTTACAAGGCTCTCGAAGTGCAGCAGCAGCCGCTGCAGCTCGGCGACTTGCTGCTGCATGCGGGGGAGAGTGAGTCGCTGCTGCTGGTGTTGCTGCTGTTGGTGCTGCTGTTGCTGTTGCTGTCGCTGCAGCAGCTGCAGCAGCATCAGCAGCAGCGGCAGCAACGCATGCACAAGGTGCGCCAGCCCCGCCAGCCCCAAAGAAGCAAAAGAATGCAATTCAGGGGCATTCTGCAGCAGCAACTCCTCCAAGCATTGCAAGAAAAATAATACATCATCAAGAGACAGTACACCTCCTTCTAACAGCACAGGCACCAGCGTGCCTAAGGCGAGCAGCGCATTCCATTGGGGGCCCCCGTGGGGCCCCCCCCCTTTTAGCAGCAAACTCTCGAGCTGTCTGTACAGCTGCAAGAGCTGAGGATACACCGCAGATGGGTCGGGGGTCTCTAAATGCGCCACCCGAGAAACAGTGGCCACAGATATTGCTAGAGCTGCAGATACACCTGGGGAGACACCTGAAGAGACACCTGAGGAGACACCTGGGGAGACAGCTGCGTTCGTGGGCTCTGTCTCTGGCGCTGCTTCTCTCTGTCTCTCTTCTTGCCTCTCGGATTCGCAGCTTTCTCTTTTCTCCTGGGGGTCGGTGCAAGGCTCGCCTGCTGCTGCTGCTGCTGCTGCTGTTGCATGCACCCCTGGGGCTGCAGCAGCATCAGGCAACGCTTTCCCCCCTAGAGCAGCAATAAGGGCTTGGAGACAGACAGATAGCCGTAGCGCATCTCCGCTGTGTCGCTGCGCGTGAGCAGCAAGAAAGAGACACCGAGCAGCAGCAAAAATATCATTTCCAGCACTTCCTGCTGCACCACACAAGCATTGCTGCACTTCCTCAACAGAAGGAAAGGCAGCGCCCCCGCAGGCTTCAGGGGGGCCCCCCTGGGGGCCCCCCCCAGCGCCCCCACAGGCTTCAGGGGGGCCCCCCTGGGGGCCCCCCTTACTGTGGTTTGTTGGTGTGGGGTCCCTAAGGAGCGCAGCAAAGACAGCACCGCCTTCTTGGGTTTGTGCTGCTGCGAGGCATAACTCAGACATATCTGCTGATGTTGCATGCAAAGCAGAAAACGCCAGCAGCAAACAACTCCCCAGCCTGAACGCAGCAGCAGCAGCAGCAGCAGCAGCAGCAGCTATGCAGCATGCAACTCTCTAGACAAATATGAACAATAAACATTTAGATTTAAAACCGCAACCCACGCGCACCACACGCCACGCAGTAAACCCCAAACAACAAACCCTAAACCCTAAACCCTAAACCCTAAACCCCAGCCTGGGGGCGGCGTATGCTGCTCGCATTAAGCAGTTTGCTGCCTGTGGTGTTGAAGTGTCTCCATTTGAGGTGTCTCCTCAGCAGTGTGCATGCGTATCTGTTTATAATAAGCGGGAGGGACCCGTGCTGTGGTTTGTGGTGTATAGGGAGACAGCAGAAAGCAAAGACAAACCAAGGAGGAGGGGGAGACGCCGCAGCAGCAGCAGCAGATATATGCTGCATAAAAAAACAAGAGATGAGAGGTAGCAGAGCTGCCTGATGAGTTGCTAGAGCAGCAAGGAGGCTTGTATACAGTGAAGCTTCTGCAAGCCGCATCCCTAGCATGCTGCTGCTACTGCTGCTGCTGCTGCTGCTGGCGGTGGTGGTTGCTAGCGAGTCCTGCTGCTCCTCTGCTGCTGCTGCTGCTCCTCCTCCACGAGGCAGCAACGCATCTAGCTGATGCAGCAGCTGCATCCCCAGCTGCAGCAGCTCCGCGTCAGCAGCAACAGCAGCAGGCAGCAACCCAACAAACCTGCAGACAGCAGATGCGGAAGCTACTCTTTGTCTTTTACTCGTTTCTTCATCTCCTTCGCAATACTATAATACATATATCTATGAATAAATAAATAAATACATCTATATATACACATACATATATATATAGCAGCTGCGGCAGCCGGCCTTTCTCCGAGGCAGCAGCAGCAACAGCAAGAGCAGCAGCAGCAAGAGCAGTAGCAGCAAGAGCAGCAGCAGCAGGACGAGCAGCAGCAGCAAGAGCAGTAGCAGCAAGAGCAGTAGCAGCAAGAGCAGTAGCAGCAGCAAGATCAGCAGCAGTATGAGCAGGAGCAGCGCGAGCAGCAGCAGCAAGAGCAGAAGCAGCAAGAGCAGCGGCAGCAAGAGCAGCAGCAGCAAGAGCAGCAGCAAGAAAAGACAAAACGCATGCATATATCTAGAGAGAGATCTAACCTCTTTAAAAAGAAATCGCAAACAGAAGGAAGGAGACACAG